ATATATAAGTGGCTTTAAAGGGCAAAGAACAGATTTATATGATTAAGCTGTTTATGATAGCAACTAAATTAAAAAACAAAAGGTCATGGGATTCAGCTGAGGAGGTCAACTCCAAAGCAATTCAGCTTACTAGAGAAGAATTGTTAAAATACAGAAGAGGGCAGTATGAGTTGCCTAGTTGCAGATTATTTATGAACTGTTCATCTTTATGCTAGTTAAAATAAAATCAGAAAATATGTTGCAATTTTTTATTTCTTTCTGTAGTCATTATGGCGCACTTCACTGAAATACACAGAATAACTGAGTTACAACAATTGCAATAATAAATAATATGGGGCTGCAGAGTTACCCTAGGTGATTGGCATCTCGATCTGAGCCTGAGCCTAAATGTCAGTGTTATCACAGCAAACCTCTGCTTATGAGCCTGTGCTCTACAATTCTGCCACAGTCCATTGTGGGAGAACTGGTTTGTCCCTTGTGAAGGGAAGGCCTTTGGTGGCATTGGCAGCCAAACCATTTAGCCTATATCCTGACAGCAAGGTAGTCAGTTTCCATCTAAAACTGAAGGACAGCTCAGGCCTTAACTCATGACCAACCATGGGTTCAAATTATAACTAAACATGTACTCTAGGATATTGTGTGGATGGTTGGGGGTTTGGGCAAAAACACGTTTAAGTACGCAGACTGAAACTACAGTGTAGACATAATCTGAAAGCTAGCTCTTGTTTTTACCGTTATAGGATTGGAGTGAAGGAGGCCAACAAAACTTTCAGTTAAGAAGTGTTGGTACAGATGTAAAAAGGTAGATTCATATTTGTCAAGAATTATAGCAGTGATTTTTTTTTTCCAACTGTTTTAGACTCAAGGTGGCCTTCCATAATTTTTTTTTATGAATTTAGTGGCGTGCCATTTCAAAAACTAATTTCACTTGGTTGTTTTTGACTATGGAAAAATAATAGAGCAGGGGCCTCTAGCACGGGTACCACAATGTGGCACATGAAGGCATTTTGCATTTTACTTGCCGCTCTGCTTCTTGGATCAGGCCCCTTGCAGCTCCCCTGCCATCTGCCCTTGGCATGCCAACATTTTACAGGTCAAGGTTGCAGATGTTTTTGGCACTCTGCCCAAAAATGTTGCTGACCCCTGTAATAGAGTAATTTCTCTTTTGCAAAGAAGTCAGAAAGACTACAGTGGGTCAGAATGTTTTTGACACTATGGATTTCTACTTGAATCCATAGTGTGTCATGTTGGTTTTGTACACCTAAGAATGCTAATATTTTGTGTGGTAATGAGATCTTTTTAAGGGTGCTGCAAAATACTAGCAGTCTTAGGTTTGCAAACACCTACATATGACTCGGAAGAGATTTTGAATGGGAATCCATGGTGTCAAAAATGTAATTAAAGATTCAGTATTTTAAAAGCACGCTTCTTTTATTTACAGGACCCATAACATTTAGATTTGAACTGAGAGAAATCTCCTTGTTAAGAGAGAGAAAGTGTCAGCTTTTTGAGAACTCTTTCCAGAATGGTGGTAATACTTATATAATATGAATGAAGTTCAAGATTCTGTACAGAGAGTTTGAATGACCAAGTCCCATCTTCCAAAGAGCTTATGAGTTTTTAATGTAGACAGAGAGAATGTATAAAGAGAGACTGTAGTGAGGGAGGTGATTAAAAAGTAGTGTGGTTTAGTGAATTTGAACATCCATCATAGCTTTGCTGAGACTTTTTACAGTTTTTAAGTAACTGGATTTTTGTTTGGGGAAAATCCTGAATTTTTGGTTTCCTGAAATTAATGTTGCTAAGAACTCCCTGAGGAAGCAATTTGAAATCTTTAGGCTTTTAGTACTTGAACAATGTTATTTATCAACCAGATTCTGGTTTACAATCTAATAATCTTCATAATATCAGATTTATGTTTTAACATGGGGTGGAAGCTAAGGCGCACGGTTGACAGCCCAGAGGTTGCAAGTTTGAGGCCACTGCAGAAGTGCTCATGGCCCACCCCTCTCAGATTCTAAATGAATCTGTGAATTCTGCTAAATGCCTTGTTGCAAGAACAGGAGAAGGAAGGAAGGGTGATTGAAAATTCAGTAGGCAACCATTATACAGTTGCACATTTGACTGGGTCTTATATCCTTTATGCCTTGTTTTCTGTCTCTTCCCTTCTCTTCCCACAAGTATCTTAAGTGATATCCTTGCCCTGTTGATTTGTACAGCAGTTTCGTTATTGCCTTCAGTGGGACAGGATTTCACTTCTCACTTTCAAGAACAAAGTATGGGCCCAATTCTTAAAGTACTCTGTTATGTTGATGTAAGGTGTATGGCTTGTGAGATAAGACATTGAGGCATAATAGGTCACAGTACCCTCTTTTCTGTCTGTGACTGCTTCCAAGTGCTGTCATTGTCATATGGTCACATCAATCCTTTTATAAAAATACAGGGATTGTATCTTCCTTCCAGTAATAAAATTGTTTGTAGTCAGTTTGTATTTCTGTAAACATTTAGCAATTTTAAAACTCCCATTTATACATTGTACTGAAAGGAATTTGCAGGTGAAGAAACTTTTACTCTGGCAGTGCAGTCATTAAGAGTGGCCTTGTGAACTAGATGTAAAATTCCAACAGCTGTTTTGTCAAACTGTTTTAATAGTGATGGAGAAACTTCTTCTTGAAGAGTTTGTTTTTTAAACATAAAATAGAATAAAATCTGTATTGCCTAAATAATGTTACTAAAAATTGTCATCTTTCTGTATATCCATAGAAGCAAGCTCCTTCTATGAATAGTTCTCATATATTATATATCACTTTCTTTTAGGGCAAATAGTATATGCTCACCAGTTTGGGAACCAAACAGAAGGAAGTTTTACTTCTACCAGTTTATTTGATGCACACTGTGTAAACCTCATCTGTGATCTGATAAGCATGTCTATCAACAAGTATACAAAGGTATGTTTTGTTTTGTTTTTTTATTTTGTATGTGGAAACATCTGAAAACGCCAATCAGAGGGCCATATTGTGTCAGGTCTGTACTAGGGCAAGAAAATACAATCCCTTGTATGACTGTTTTAATTTTGCTTTTGATTTTAATATCCTCAAGGTTTAAAAAGTGTTACTTGTTACGAGTTTATATTATGTTGTATTTATTCATGACCATCTGGCAGCTGAATTAGAGAATAATTTAGAAATGCATCGTGTACAGAGATGAAGTGTGTGCCACATTTTATAATTTGTATGTGCTGGGTTTCATGCCAAACATGGAACAGTCTCAGTGTTTTAGAGCTATAGATACAGAAAATGTCTTTCCAAATTCTCTCAATGGGAACAAAAGGCGATTGACTATAATCTTGGCAGTTTACATAGAATGCCACGTTAAAGGTTATATTTACACTGCTCCTGTTTTTAACATCCTCATCTTTTCTATTCAGCATCTTTACATTTGTTAAGGTAAATGTCACTGTAATTTTTTGGGTTTTTTTTTTTCTTATATTGGCTGCCCTGATGCTCCTTCTTCCAGCAGTTGAAAACTAGGAAATCTGATAGTTCTTTTATAACACCCAGGTAGCCAATAAAGTAACTTTTATATTCTTTTTTGAGTGTGTATCATTAAGAGTCTTGCTATAAGTTACCACGTGACTCACGGGCGCAACATTGCAGGTTTTTGAATAGCAGTGCCCATCAGGGCATGCATGTGCTCTGTGCCTCTCTCTGCTCCTGTGCAAGTCTATCAAGAATAGATTGATCACAACTTGCTATCATATCCGTCTTGAGGCAAAACCCTTTTTAGTGCTTGCTAGATCTTACCCACACAGCATGAGTGGCAGGGTATATATCATCTTAAGTGTCCATTTCTCTGCCATCCACTGCCCATTGCAAACAGATCTTACTTCCACATCTTATGAAAGCAGGGGAAGTCTCCATGCCCTGTAGCTTTATAAGCCCAATTTCCTGTGCTAGAACCAAACATTGACTGCTGTGAAGAGGCAACACTGTTTTCTGAAGGGGTTATCAGCATTTCCAAATGAGACAGTGGCACATGCCCTGACAACTTCAAGTTGTTACAAGACCTGGTGAGACTTCAACCTTTGAAATCTTTGAGGTCCCAGAAGAGTCCCATAAGCTCTTTGGAATGAGATTCAAAACTTGTAAAATAAGAAGCAGGGTGATTTGTTGCAAAGTAAATGTGTAAACAAGGGAAGAAGCAGCGCTTAAAGATGGATGACATAAATGAAGCTTCTGTCCATATAAAATACTTTATAATCTGGGACAGAAGTTAAAATTCTTGCTATGTGATGTGCTATACTTGTTTGAAATTGCCATAGTTCAGGTTTAGATTCACCACTCCATCTTTTACAGATTTTCTTTCCAAGGAAATCTTCAATGATCACCATTGCTTGTGATTTACCCTTAAGTATACACCATTGGATTTCCAAATTCAGAATAGATGTAAATCGTAGAAAATTAGGGGTTGAAAGAGACCTCAGGAGGTCATCTAGTCCAATCCCCTGCTCAAAGCAGGGCCACCCCAACTATACATCCCACCCAAGGCTTTGTCTAACTGGGTCTTGAAAACCTCCAAGGGTGCTACCACCTCTCTGGGTAACTTGTGTTTTACTAGCCTCCTAGTGAGAGAGACTTTTTCCTAATATTCAACTTACACTTCCCTTGCTGCAGCATAAAACCACTGCTCTTTGTTCTGTCATCTGTCACCGCTGAGAACAGCCTAGCTCCATCCTCTTTGCAACCACCCTTCAGGTAGTTGAAGACTGCAGTAGTAGGAACGTAATTTCCATGCTAAAAAGACCATAGATTGAGGTATGACAGGAAAATAAATCAATCAGAAAACTAGATTGTGTAAGATAAAGTGAAGTGGAGACTCCTTTCTTTTAAATCTCATTATATTGTCTTCCACCTAGTGTATTTCTGTCACCTCTGCCCCCTTCCTGCTCGACTTTGTCTTTCTGTAAGCAAAACCTGAAGACTCATGTTAATTAGCTAAAGCCTATATCACCATTTTTGTGACTTCTGCCTTCGGCCAGTTGGAACATAGGACCTCAGTACAAAGTTACCAAAGTTTTATCTGTATACGTTGACTGTTTCAAGGTTTTATAAACTTGGATTTGGCAGTTTTCGGAGTAGGGGCAATTTTAGATTTTTTTTAAATGCTTCACTTAATTATTTTGTTTCACTGTTCAGAAAGTATAGAACTGAAAGATGGATTACAACAAGACTTTACATTTAGAACATGGTCTGAAAGTGATTTTTTTTTTTTAAATTAAAGAACAGTAATCTGATGACTCTTATGATTTAAAATGTATTCTGTCCTGTACATTAAAAACTATAACAGAACTGATTAACACCCCTACGCGCAGAAAAAGATATTACATTAGTATTATGCATAGGTGCTAAGGAAATGTCATTTAAAAATAACAATAATAAATACCATATTGTTTAAAAACTTTTTTGTACATTTCAAGGAACTTCAAGTAAACCAATCATCTTTTCTCTCTTCCCTGCTAGAGAGAGTGAATTACTATTTACTGTCATTCCTTTTCCTCCATGCTTAGAAACTAATTTTAATTTAATTACATAATATTTGAAACTGGTTCAGCCAGAGCTAAAAAGTAATGCTATGTATACTGTGCATGGAGTTAGAAAATGATTCCTTTCTTGTAGGTATGGGAGATTTATTTTAGATTAGTAATAAAAATGATACACTTGCCTCAAAAAAATCCATTGCAATTGTGGATAAATCTACCAGATTGCAAACAGAGAGAGAAGGGGGAAATATTACTACATAACTTCTCTGCATAAAAGGACCCAGGGGTTACAGTGGATAATAAGCTGAACATGAGCCATCAGTGTGCCCTCGTTGTGAAGAAGGCTAATGGCATACTCGGCTGCATTAGTAGGCGCATTGCCAGCAGATCAAGGGAAGTGATTATTCACCTCTATTCAGCACTGGTGAGGCCACATATGGAGCACTGTGCCCAGTTTTGGGCTGCCCACTGGAGAAAGGATGTGGACAAATTAGAGAGAGTCCAGAAGAGGCAACAAAAATGGTTAGGGAGCTGGGGCACATGACTTATGAGGAAAGGCTGATGAAATGGCTTATTTAGTTTAGAGAAGAAAAGACTGAGTGAGCATTTAATAGCTGCCTGAAGGGTGGTGGCAAAGAGGATGGAGCTAGACTGTTCTCAGTGGTGGAAGATGACAGAACAAGGAGCAATGGTCTCAAGTTGCAGCAAGGGAAAACTTTCTCACTAGTCGTTTGGTTAATCAGGTTACCCAGGAATGTGGTAGAATCTCCACTCTTGGAGGTTTGTAAGACCTGGCTATACGAAGTCTTGTATGGGATGATATAGTTGGGGATGGCCCTGCTTTGAGCAGGGGGTTGGACTAGGATTGGAAGGGACCTCAGGAGGTCATCTAGTTTTCTATGATAACTTGTAATTTGCCAATCCCTTTTGTTCTGTGAAAGAATGACATCTTATATTTTCTTAATTAGGTCAGACCATCTGAGGCTCTAACTAACCACCACTACCCTTGTACTTGCATTAAGGAATTATGGGTTCTGCTTATCCAGCTGTTGGATCACAGAAATAAAGGGTCTCATCCTGAGGTAAGCAATAATATTGCTATATGCAGACCATAAATAAATTATAAGAAAGTAGTTAAAGCCAAACATTCAGGTGTTGATTTTCTAGAGTCAAATTAACCACTAGATTATACAAGTTCACAGCAAGGGTATATACAGTTGAATTTTGCTCCATTATGAGCTTTATGCGCACTGATGTGCAGATGCAGTATGTTTTCTACAGCACCTTAGGCCCCATCCCTCAGCATTCATGTACTGATTCTAACCTTGCTGTGCAGTTGTTAGTGGTAGGTTATATTGCTGTTAGGGAGCACTCCTTGTGCCAGAAGAGGAAAGGAGTTGAAGTCATACAGTATGTTGCAGAAGCACAAAAAAAAGAGAAACTATTTCCTGTTGTTGCTGCTGATCCTGACTCTAACCGCACTTCTAGGCTTGTATCCAAGCAAAAGGCCCAGACACAATGTGTCCCTGAATGTTTCAGATGGACTCTTTTGAAAGCTGTCTGTCTTCATCTGCACTATGAATTTAGTCGATGTAGCATCAAGCAGCTTCATGATACAGCATTCATACTGAATACTGAAACTGTTCACTTAGAGGAAGTTGATGTAGAGAAAAGTCTCCTGGGTGAAAATTTTGTTGCTCATTATTAATCACTTTTGTTACAGTTGGACCTTATTAACTATGTCATTTTGCACCAGAGGGACTTGAACTGTGTTGGAGCCATCTTTCTTCATGTAGTAAAGACTGTTTGTTGGACTGGGACACAGTTCACTTAAAACTGTACCTGCATCCCAAAATATTTCATGACAGCTACAGAGCAACCTAGGGGGTTTAGATCTGGAAAAACTAGATGGCAAGGACAACTGTTAGAATCAGTGCATAATATTCACTACCGCTTTCCCTACTGTTGGTATCTTTTTAGAGGATGCTGATATTGAGGAAGAATGGCAAATCTGACATGATGCTGTGTGCTGCACATGTGAACACACTGTTGACTTTGTATGCAGGCAACAGTAAGACTGGTTTGATAATCATGTGGCCATTCAGTGTCTGCTCAAACAAAATCATGGCACTGTGTTAGGTTGTTCAGGCTCAACTACTCTACAGGTATTTTGTGGACCAATGATGGGACCCGTTAATGACATTCAAGATAAGATAGAAATACAGTGATTGCAGTTCCAGCATGCAGTGGCTCAGACCAGAAGCTGGGGGACACTAAAGCAGCCCTCCCTTCCCTTTCACAGGAAAGCTGAGCTGAGCAGGGTGTGGCCAGGCTCTGGCAGTCCTGAGTATGACTGAGGAGGGGTTTAAACCCCCATCTTGGCCTGCAGGGTTTGGAGGGTGGGGGAACAGCGACTGTGGCCAGACAGGAGCATGGCCAGACCCCTGTGGCAGGGGTGGACGAGGGAGAAAGCTCTGTCCACCACAGTGGTTACCTCACAACTGGGAGCAATCCAGGTATACAGCTTCACTGCCTGGCCCCACAGGAGGCCTCTTTCCCCTCCCACCTCCCTCTTCCCCTTTGTTGTGGGGCAAGCAGGAGTGCTCTGTGCGGTGCTGCCCAGTGGCTGGCTGGGTAGTGGGCAACCCAGGCCAGCTCAGGCATCACGGGGGCTCATGTGTCTGCAGCAAGCCCCTGTAGCAGGCAGCTGTCGGGCTTCAGGCCTGCTGGCACCTGTGAGCCAGCTTGGGTAGCCCATTGCTTGGCCAGCCGCTGCTCACACACACCACGCCAGGGTGCTCTCACTGACAGGGCTCAGTTTCCCTGTTATTGAACCACAGCTGGCCCTGCCATGTGGCTGCCTCGGCCAGGGCTGAGCAGGGCCAGCCTGAGCTGCGCTGATGGGGCCGTTCCCAGCAGCTGTGGCTCAGTGACAGATGCTCACTGGGCCGGCCTGGGCAGCGCCACACAAAGCCCCCTTCCCCATCCTGTGATGGTAGGGGGGAAGGAGGCGGGGGAAGAGTCGCCCTCCAGCACCACACAGAGCCTCTGGGACAGGGGGGTGGGGAGGAGGATTTTGGCTGGTCCTCCCTGGATGAGGTACCCCAGTGAGGGTTTGTGGGAGATTAATCCCCTCCCTGCCCCCTTAGCCTTAATGGGGCCATGCTGGGATGGCTGCCATCCTTGCCAGTGGGATAGGGAAGGGAGGGTGGGAATAAACCTCTTTTATGCTTGTGCTCCTTGGGGCACCCTGCAGAGGCTCACCCTCCCCTCAC